CCTCCCTTTCCTTCCCCTCCCCTCCCCTCCTCTCTTCTCTCCTTTACTTTTCTCTTCTTCTCCCCCCTCCTTCTCACTCTCCCTCTCTTTCTTTCCCCTCTCTCCCCCTCCTTTTTCCTCCCTCTCACTAGAGAGTTGAGTCCCCTATTTGAAATGGTGCAGCTAATACAAAGTCATCAAAGCACTATGGTTCTTGTCTTAAAGTGACAGCTCGCTTTATGGGGCTGTTTTAAATACTCCCCCAGCTTTTCAATGTCTCTCTATCCATCTTTGTCTGCTCTTCAGAAAGGGGACAATATAAAGCCCAGCCTGGCGAGCTCCCCATGCTCAGGCCTGGGCACTGCCAACCTCTGCCTTTAAGCAGATTGAAATTGTCACTGTTTCATTAATCTGAAACTAGTTACTTTCCTAAGCACACCGCACACACTTCCGATCTGCTGGGATTCGCTCACAGGAGCCCCTGGGGCCTTCCTGGGTTTGGGATTTGGAAAGCTCAACAAAGGTTCTACAGGGTTCAGGGAAACACAAATTTCAGCTGGAAGAAAGGCAATGCCCAACGGAGAAGGGCAGCCACTGACACCAGTATACTAAGGGAGCACAAATCTCTGTTTTCAGAGACAATGGGATGCCCAGAATTTTTGAGGACGCACTTGAGCTTACAGAGTCTGGCTATGCAGATGGATAAGATGGCTATGCACCTATTTTCATGTGGAAGATCACTGAGAACTGTGAGTTCCTATAGGTTTGGATTTTCTTTCCCAAGAAAGAAAAAAAATGTATTCAGATTTCTTTGGAAGCTGAATTGTTGTTTTCTAGTCTTTGGGTTTTCATCTGAGCACTGATGTTCCTAAGAGATCAAAGTTTCTGTCTTCCTTGCACCTGTTTCCAACTCCAAGTGCCACGGCTTCCGGGGTAGCAGCTTTGGGTGGCACAGGCTGCCTCTTTTCTTCATACCTCCACCACTAACAAAAGACAATTCAAAAGATGCTTCACTTTTTATATTCCCAGTTGTCTTAGAATAGCGCATTTTTTGGATTCCATTTCATCTAATTTAGGGAAGAGCCCCGGGCATTTTTTTTAAGAGCTCATTTTTCAGTAATGTGAGCCTAAAGATTTATAAAATAGATTTATATTAAATTATGTTAATAGAGGCCTAGTAAATGTACCAATTGATTGCATGGAAAAATGTTCCCTTTTAAAAGGTCTGTCACCTTAACAGGTACATTCAAAGATTCTGGGTGAATAATGAAGATAGAACAATTGCTTTGACGCACCAGCTGCATTCATCGTCTAGGACAGCTTTGGCTGTGTTTGGAGAAGATGGGAGGAGCTCCTTTTCAGAGAGTGATTGCTCCTTTAAACCTAATTTCTTCTAGCAAATAGTTTCCATTAGAAATGTGGCCCTCCCCTCCCTGTCCTAGGCTAGGCCGGAGCTCCTGCCTCAGAGCTCTCTGCCTCTCCCAGGATGCTCATCTGGTTTCTTCTTATCCTGGCCACGAGTGCCTTCCCACACCTCAAGGAGCATTCTTAAGGCGTGCCACAAAAGTGAAACATACAAGAGAGGTAAAAAGTGAGCAACAAAATGAAAAAAAGAAAAAAGAAAACCTAGTGAAAATTACTCTTTCCACCTATACCACCTCTCCCAATTGGTTTGTTCTCTCTCCCCTCTTCATCAACAAACTCATACACAAACATGATGCACATGTACACACACGGTCCCTGTTGCCCCCTTGAACATTTTTAATAGTACAACCACCTTTCTAGCATTGTCTGACCACAGTCGGAGTGGCCCCAATAAATTGTACAATCCTGAGCAGATATAATTGGACAGAACTGTCCTGGAGTAAGGATGAGGGGAGGAAAGAGGATGCCAGAAATTGGGAACTTCATGTCCCCAAATTTGTGTTTCTCCTAAAACCATGAGATATCTGAGCGGGGAGCTATGACGACCACTGAACCGAGTTCAGAACAAGGACCCCAGAGTGGAAAGATCTATGAGGTATCCATCAGCTGGGCTCACTGACCCCCAAAACAGGCTCCTGGGCTCCTTCTGCCTTTGTCATCATTTATGATTAAGAAGCCTCGCCTGGGACCACTGTCCCTTGGACTGGAGCATGTGTTGGTCGCTGAGTGGGAGCGTGGAGGGGAAAGGTTTCTGCTCCTCCTGTGTGCTTTGAATGTCTGGGCTGGGCCAGGGCCCAGAGGTGAGAGGTCATGCTTTCTGCCTTTTACCCTACCCCCAGCTCTTTCCCAGTTTAAAGCTGCCCTGAGACTCATTCTCAGATGGAAACTTAGCCATGCTAATGGCTCCTGTTGCTCACCCCTTTTCTCTGGGTGGAATAAATTCCTGGGTTCTAATTTTAATTTTTCTCTCTTTCCATTATGTGTTTCAGGCCTCTGAAAGGTCATGTATTGGGTGAAGAGTGTTCTGTTTCTGTTTTTCAAGTGGGACCTCTGAAAGCTTGAACCCAGGGCTTTCTGGGGAGCCATGGCGGTGAACCTATATATCTAAAACCTTCCTCTCTAACAGACCTAGGGAAAGATAACACTTGGAATGTTTACCTATGGATTTCTTCTCAGATTATTTGTGTTTCTAAGTTTGTGTGTCTGTTGGCTCAAGTGTTCTTAAACTAATGTGAAACAATAACAGGCCTTTAAAATCAAATTCCAGATTTCTGATTTTCTTTTAGGGAGAAGTTGGAGAGGATGTAAAATCTGTCCTAATAGAGTAAGAATGCTCCACTCCAAAAGTGACAAAAAGGCCATTCCTAGTAGAAGGGAAATCTCCCTGGGAACCTTGGAGAAACTTTATTTAGAGAACATCCCACTTATCCAGATAGAGATAGGTATCTTTGCTCGAATAGTTTTGCCCACTACTCACCCCCACCAAAGAACTATATTGTTTATTGTCCGTTGGGGACCAGACCACGACAGCCGCCTCGGAGAGTTTTTGCACCCATCTCTTTAGCCCAGTGGCAGAGCAAGGCACCCAGGACAACTCCCCAAAGACAATTGAGCCCTAGGTGCAGACTGGTCCTGAACTTGAGAAGGGCCAGACAGAGTTGGGGGTGTGATGTGCTGTGGTGGTGGCTGTGCAGGGTAGGGGGCGGAGGGATCTGTCTACAGCTCAGACGACGGACCTTTGCCTTGGCTGCAGGGCGGAGAGCTGCAGCGGGGGCTCTTTGTCCTTCTTGGGTTTTCCTGAGAAGGAATTATTCTCTTTAAGTGCTAGTTCTTTGCGCCTGCGAATTCCCTTCCTCCCACCTCTCTTCTTGTTCTAAGAGAGGCCTATTTCTTGGGAAGAAGGGAGAGGAGATCTTCAGCAAAGATGGTGCATCTGTGCCTCCCCTTTTTCCGCAGCAAACTGCATGAGATGTCCTGGATTCCGTGCATAAGAGGCTGGAGGACAGATTCAGAAGTGAGAGTTTCCCCAGGCCCCCGAAGGAGGGAGCTGGGAACCTGGGGCCACTGCATTGGACAAGTCTAGCTCACTGCCCAAAGTTCGGGCAGTGCTGGGTTTAGCAGGACTCTACACAGTTCTCCTTTCTCCTGCCGTCCAGGCTGGTGTCCAACTGAGAGTTTAGAAACCCATTGGGGGTGGGGCAGAGATATAGAAAGAAACAGGAAACCGTGGATGTATTCTCCCTCCTTTCTCCTCCTTCCTAAAGTTTCCTGTTTTAGAAGTCCAGGGTCTCTGGTGAAATTTTAGTTAGGACCTAAAGTAAATCAAATCAAAAAATATTGTTGTGAACAGTGCTCACAGCTTGAACCTAATTGGGTGGTATCTTTATAGGAAGTAATCAGAAATCACACCCATGGGTGTTGGTGGGACTCAGACCTCCTAGTTTCCTTTGTCACTTCCCTTAGACACAGGCCCAGGCCACTGGGGTGGGGGTTCCTGCTAGAGAAAGAGCCAAGCGCTCCTCCAGCCAGGGAAGCGAAGGTCCAGGGGGGGGCCAACAAATCAAGAGTTCAGTGGCATCTCTGTGCTGCTTTGGAAATATGAAATTAAATCTTAAGGCAGAATACTTCTTTTTCCCTCAGTTTTGAGGAGAAAGCAGGAACATTAAGCTTTTCAGTCTCCTCTGGCAGCATCTGTAAGTTTCTGTGTTTACTTCCAACTCGTTTGATGGATTGTTGCTATGCCAAAAGCTATTACAGCTATGCAAATTCCTCCACATAACTTAGATGTTAGCACTAAGAGAAATGAGAAAGGAGAAAATAAATACTATTTGAGGGATTTTTCACCTTTCCTTGCTAAAGAAAAGGTTTGCCTGTCATCATTGTTAGAGTCACTCTAAATGAGTTATTTGTTCTGTCCACGGTCAGGATGTCACTTGTTCTGAGTGTTGGCGGTACCTAGGAGGGGGCATCAGGACTGTAAATTTCTTCTTGGCAGAAGCTTCTGTCACACTGAAAGTCTGTACAGCCACTGATTCCCTCAGCCAAGAAACCCACATTCCCAAGTCATAGTTACCACTTTCCTCTAAGGCCTCAGGTATTTTTCTCCTTGCCAATGCCTTTCTCTAGGTGTGACAGGAAGGAAAACACAGGGAGAACAAACACCACAAATTTAAAATCCTGATTTTTGTTGTATTTATTTAAATAAATATAAATATAAATTTTATATAAAACTATTCATATACAAAGGGACTTCCAGCGACTTGGATTTTAAATGCTCCCCAGGCAAATTTTCCAAAAGCAAGACCTACAGGGTCTAATTTTCTAAATTGTTTGCAAATTCAGTGCTTTCACTTCAAAATAACAACAACCCCCCCCAAGAGACCCCCTGCTGTCATCAAGTTCTGAACAACAGGGGTGAAGAAATAACATGTGCTTTCAAAAACCCCATACAGTGTTAAACTTAAAACAACCCTGTTTTGCTCTGTTATATAAGACTGAGTTGGAGTCTAGATTATTTACATTTTTTAAAAAAAGATCTATGAGTCCAAATGGAGCCCCAAATAAAAAGGTCAAGAAGGAGACGTGAATTAGGGCCAGCTCTGAATTCCCAAGGACGGCTTGTCAGACTCCTTCCGCTGGTGCCAAGAAGGCGACGGGAGAGACTTTTGGCCTCTAGGTGTACCAGTGTTGGCTTGTGTGTGGTTTGAGGGGGCGGACCCCTCATAAGGGGGAAATCTCCTTGTCCTCGTTAGCGGATGCCGGCGACAGGGAGTCCTCGTCCTCTGAGCGCGCATAGTGCGCCTGGCTACCCACGCACTTGCAGCCCGCGTGACTGTTCCTCTGTGTGCCTTTCCCCTCTTTTTTGTGCTTCACCCGGCGGTTCTGAAACCAGATTTTCACCTGCTTCTCCGACAGGTTCAGGTAGGTAGCTATTTCGATCCTCCGGAGACGAGACAGGTACATGTTGGAAGAGAACTCCCGCTCCAGCTCCAGGAGCTGTGTGCTGGTGAACGCTGTTCTCATTCTCTTGCCATTGGGCACCTGGCTGCTGTCGGAACCTCCTGCGGACCGGAGGGGGGGGTGGGAGAGAGAGAGAGGAGAGGGGTCAGGCTCTGGCGAGGGACTCCCACCCCACCACCATTCCCTGAGAAGGACGCAACTCAAGGTCCCAGCCCAGCCGAACACCTGTGTCCATTCTCACGCTTTCCTATCTCAAGGCAAGTCTTTGCTCACCCAGGAGGGAAAGATAAGCCCAGAGCAAGTTCTTGCCCTTGATGCGCAGGACGCGAAGTTAGAGCCGTAAAGGGGACTACGAGCTTGAACTCCTCTCATAGGCTCCCTCAAGCCCAACCGAGAGGTTGGCAGCCTCAGCCAAAAGCACCAGAGCGCTTTAGCCAGCCTGGACGCGGGATGTCTCACTTAAGTTCAAACACACGCACCTCAAACCTGAGGTAGTTTTTAACCTAAATTTACTCCGCAGTCCCGTTAGCCGACCCCAATCCACCGGTAGTGCGCGGTAGACCCAGAGCGAAGCGCATCCGGCTGCGCGGACAGGTTGGCGAGCCACCTTCCCGCTTCGTGGGACTTCTAGGGGAGGGTTCCACGGCCACACTGAAAGCCCCTCCTCCCTCCACCCCTCCCCACCCCGCTCGGTGCTCCCACTTCCTCCCCTGGGAGCGGAAAGTTTGCTCCTAAGTGAGCGAAAGTCGAAGCGCAGGTGCCCGACACCCCGCCCTACCCATGGCGAGGCAGTGGAATCTCCGCGGATCCGCCACGTTGTAGGTGGTGGCAGCGCAAACAGGTGCGTGGTGCTGCGGGTGCCCCAAGGCAGCTGCGGA